CTGATGAATGTTAATTAAAACTATAAAATGAAAGTGTGCAAATGAGAATATTTAAGGGACATAACTAGGTTTAAGCCCTTTATGATAATTCTCATTTCTTTATAAAATCAGTCAATAATTACATAGTTAAAAGAATGACTGTTCAGGGGCTAGCAGGTAGCGTGATGGTTAAGGTGCTGAACCCCACATGGCCAACTCTGCTGTTTGAGTCTTGGACCTGGTGGCTCAAAAAACATCCCAGGCAAGGACCAAGAGTTAGCATAATGGCTATGTCACTGGACTCCCACGTAGTCAACCGTGGTTCAAGTCCTGGACCCAGTGACTTAAACTCACGCCGGGCACGTGCGTGTGCATGCCCAAGATCCCAAGAGGAGAATGGAGAAGGGATTGTGGCATGGCCATCCCCCCTGGGGTGTGATTTCTTGCTTTCTGTCTCTCTGTCTCTCTGTCTGGCGTCTCACTTACCTAAGATTAAAAACCCCTAAAAAAAAAAAAAAAAAAAATCCCAGGCACATGTACATGCATGCCCAAAATCCTGAGAGGGGAATGGTGAAGAAGGGATTGTGGGGTGTGGCCATCCTCCCTGAGGGGCAGTTTCTCACTTTCCCTTCCTCTGTATCTCTCTCTTTCCAGCACGTGCATGCACTTTATGCAAAACTCTAGAAGAAAATAAAAGGAAAAGAAAGGAAATAGTGGGGGAAATGGATAGAAATTTTTTTGTCTTTAATATTGAGAAAATTTATTGTCATGTATTGCTTTGCTCATTGTATAGAGTGACATTTTAGATACTAAGATCTGATAAGAATCAGAATAATGCATGAAAATTCTGTATTATGATGTAATAATTCAAGCTCTTGTCCAGGACTACGACGTCATGGAGCTCCTGTCTTGCAGATCCCTTATAAGGGATCTTTATAACATTAGCTGCATTTATGAGGTCCAAAACTTCACTGCCTATTCGCTAACTCCTACCTTAGATTGCTAAGGCTAGTTACTGAAATCTTCTGAATTTCATAATAGAATAAGGATTACCTGATAACAGAAGTGAACTGTGGAAAGTAATCCAAAACCTTTGGAGAAGATATTATATTAGGCTTTAGACTCTTTAAGAATTAAACATTTGGAAATACATGAGGGCAATCTCATGCCAAATGGTATGTATAAAAATGCTTGCTTCTGAGAATTAATGTTGTAGTGCTTCAGATCAGAACAATGTGGGTGGATGTAAGTTCTATGGCAGTTGTGTGTGTGTCTAAAGATGAATATTAGGTGCATTTTAAAGGAAGAATAACTACTCAGTTATAAGGCTCGTATTTAAGGATGGGGAAAAAAAAAAACCCTTGCTGAGTAAGATCTAATTAAGGTTTTAGTCATCCCTGCTGCCACTCACCAGCTTACCTCCACTCACTGCTGAATCCCCACGCTTGGCATGGGGTATGGTGCACAGTGGTTGCCTCTTGAATGAAGCAACCATTAATTTTAACATAATTTTTTATTTTAACGGGTTATTTGAACATAACTTTTTAAAAACCTGTGATAAGTCAAATATACACCCAGACATTTATGATCCCTATTTTTCCCAATGAAAACAGAAGGACCAGCCCCATAGCCTAGTGGTTAAGAAAGCTGGATCTCATGACTGACCTCAGTTGAAATCCTGCACTCAGCAGCTTGAAAAACATGCTGGGTGTGCATGCATGCCCAAGGTCCTGACAGCATGAAAAAATGGAGGAGGAAGGATTAAAGCATGACCACACTCCATTGGAAGTTTCTCCCACCCTCTCTCTCTCACAAGCACATGTACCCCATGGCAATAAAAAAAATATAGACTTTCAACTAAAATGATAAATAGCTTAATGTTCAGGAGTACAGCTAGAACAATGGTTAGATATTTATACTTTCCGTTTCCTAAAAATGGCAATGTTGGGGCTGGCAGATGGTATAATGGTTAGAGTGCTGGACTCTGACTCAACTGCGCTTCAGATCCTGGACCTGGTGACTTGCTTTCACACTTTCCACTCTCTCTCTCTGTCTCTCTTTGGTCAAATTAAAAAATAATAATGATGATAAATAGAATTTAAATAAAAAAGCAATGTGGGCTAGCAAATGGCTTAGTAGTTAAGGCACTGGACTCTCACGTGGCCAACCACGGTTCAAGTCCTGGACCCATTGGCTTGAAACACACCAGGCATGTGTGCATGCATTCCCAAAATCCTGAGAGTAGAAAGAATTGTGGTGTACCCATCCCCCTGGGTGTGATTTCTCATTTTCTGTCTTTCTGAAGTGTGCACACACTCTATAGCAAAAAGTCTCTTTAAAAAAAGGCAATGTTTGGACTAGTGGGGGGGGGGGAGAGATTTTCACTGTAGGGCGCGTGCGCTCGCCTAGACAGACAGAGAGAGACATAGAGACAGAAAGCGAGAAATCACCCCCCGGGGGGATGGTCACGCCGCAATCCCTTCTCCTCCATTCTCCTCTCGGGATCTTGGGCACGCACGCACATGCGCCCGGCGTGAGTTTTAAGCCACCGGGTCCGGGACACGAACCGCGGTCGACTACATGGGAGTCCAGCGACATAGCCATTACGCTAACTGCTGGTTCCCAATCATATATTTTTATATTGTCTGTCCTGTATCATTGATGCCTATCAGACAGACTACAATCTCAACTAGTCTTATTTTCATTGTCTTTAACATTTGTATTGTTTCTCAATTATAGTTTACCTAATTAACATACGAATATCTTTTGATATATTTTTATTTTCTTAATTAATTTATCTTCTCATATATTAATAAAATCAATGTTCATACTTTGAAATAAAAAAATTATTCACCTCAACAAACAAAAACTATTGATATAATTTAGTGAGACTTTGTTTTAAAAACAAATTTAGTTGGGATGAATCATTTGACAAACAGTTCGGCTAAACTGTTATTGTGAACATATAACACAGTGCTGTATGTGTTGCTTGTAGGTGTGACATGTAAGTCCTGTTTTTCTCACTTCTACCCTGCTGGAAACTTCTTTATTCAATTGTTTTGACTACTTCCTGAACTCCTGATTATACAGAGGTTTGTGGAGTTGAGGATACATTTAACCTGTATGTTTATAAAGCTGACTTTATGGTATTTTTGTGTTCATTTTCTTTATAAAATGTGAGAAAACAACTTGAACACTCATAGCAAAACATTCTCTCATGTAAGGGTTTCTTTACAAAAGAATGCATGTGTACATTTTAGTTTAGGGCAGGGAATGGAGCCCATGGTGTTATAAGTCAGTAAGAAAGGAAATTTGGGGTCAGGTGCATGATGGTTAAAGTGGCTGGTGCCCACATGGCTGACTGCACAGGTGAGTCTCAGACACAGCAGCCTGAAAAACACTCTGGGCACATGTGCACTCATGCCCAAAATCCCAAGAGAAGAATGGAGGAGAAGGGATTGTGGCATGGCCATCTACCCAGAGGGATGATCTCTCTCTCTCTCTCTCCTCTTTTTCCAGTGAACACACACACCCTATAGCAAACTTAAACATAAGAAAAGAAAGGAACTTTAGTTTCCTGGAGCTTTCAAAAGGATAGTTTGAGTCTAGAAATAATAAACC